TGTCTCTCTCTCTTCACACACACACACACACACACACACACACACACACACACACACACACACGGAGAAAATTTTTCCCTTTTCCTTGGAAAATAAAGCAGATCTGTTTTGTTCCTGGTTCTGTGCTCTGTGGCTTTCTTACATAAAGGCAAGCTACATCCTCCATCACCCTTTCACAGTCACAGAACATCACCCTTTCTGTGTGATGTCTCATAAATGATGGTCTGCGCTAGGGCAGGGGAATAGAGGCCACTTTAAGTGATTCTAATCCAAGGACATCATGTGGAGTGCCCACGTTTCTGTGGCTCCCTCTCCTTTCCAGCTTGTGGAAGTTAGGATGACTGTCTTTAAGTCTGGCCTTGTGCATTTATTCCTCCTTCTCTGCATCTTTTTTTCCCAAAGCAAAATCTCAACCTGACAAATTTCTCACTTGGAAAATGTTCATTTACAGTATTTTCAGGAAAAGCTTGTTGGTGTCTCACTACCGCATTCCTGACACCTAAGCACATAGGTGTTTGTTACATAAGAGATACATAAAACAGAGGCGTTTAATTAAAAGATAATTCTCAGAGAACAATCTTGCATCGGTTGCTGGTAAGTAGAGAGCAGGATCTTTTGATAAGAAATGCTGATTTATTATAGATAAATGAAAGAGGATCAATTAGTAACTAAACATTTGTGAAAATCACAGATGATTCCTGTTTGGGGGAAGGGCTAACCTAATTTTGATTTTTTAAAAATAATGATAGCAAAAACTTATAAAATACCCAAAGATGCCGGGCAGTGGTGGGAGGTGAGTCCCAGGAAAGGTGCAAAGCTACACAGAGAAACCCTGTCTTGAAAAAAAAAAAAAAAAAACAACCTTTATTCTGCAACCCAAGCAGAATTAAACAAGATGTGGTTATTATCACACAAGTTTTAGCTCTTTCTTTCTTTTTAGGTCTATGTTACTGGGTGGTGGTGGCGCATGCCTTTAATCCCAGCACTCGGGAGGTAGAGGCAGGTGGATCTCTGTGAGTTCGAGGCCAGCCTAGGCTACAGAGCAAGTTGCAGGAAAGGCTCCAAAGCTACACAGAGAAACCTTGTCTTAAGGGAAAAAAAAGTCTATGTTTTTTCATATTTTTATACATTTAGTGTGTGCGTGCATGCACGTGTGTGAGTATGTGTGTGTGGTGTGTTTGTGTGTGTGTGTGTGTGTGTGTGTGTGTGTGTGTAGACCAGAAAACAATTTTGAGATTCAGTTTCTCTCCTTCCCCATGTGGGTCCCAAGGATTGAACCCATGTTACCAGACTTGGTGGCAATCATCCTTACCTACTCAGCCATCTTGCTGACCTACTTTTTCCATGTTTGGTTAGATGTAACCCTCTCAATATGCATGCGAAAATGCAAGCATGTAAGTTCCTATCTGCAACAGTACACCCTGCTTCAAAGATGCCAAGCATTCAGATCCTTAAAAAAAAAAAAAATGGATACAGAAAGCAAGC